AAATGGAAAGACTTGGAAAAAATTATATTAAGTGAAGTAAGCCAGGCCCAAAGAAACATAGGTCCCATGGTTTCCCTTATTTGCAATAACTAGTAAATGTTAGAGACAAGCAGAAAAGGTCAGATAAAATGATGTTAAGCAAAACGAACCCCAAGATAAGGATACAAGTGGTTTTTTCTTTCTTGCTATTGTTTCTAATGTATTTATAAGGTATCACGTGATTTTTGTTGCTTTGTATGTCCCTCCCCCATGGCATAATCCCTACTTTCACTGTATTTGATGTTGGTATAATTTGTGGAGGGGAAGGGAAAGAAACAAATTGTTTAAATAGGGATACAGGTTGCCCCATTGCAACAATGAGATGTTTAAGATGCTATGTGGAAAAACGAACTTTACTATTGGGGGTGGGGGATATGGTGCAGTCATGGAGATGGATGGTAGGGGAAAAACAAAGGAGGAGGCAACAATGCTTGATAAGAAATGTACTCTGGGGCTGGGAAGGTGGCTCAGTGGTAGAGTGTTTGCCTTGCATGCATTAGGCCCTCGGTTTGATTCCTCAGCACCACATAAGCAGAAAAAGCTGGAAGTGGGGCTGAGGCTCAAGTGGTAGAGCGCTAGTCTACAGCTGAAGTGCTAGGGAACAGTGCACAGGCCCAGAGTTCAGGCCCCACAACTGACAAAAAAAAAAAAAAGAAAATAAATATACTCATTATCTTGCTCATGTAATTGTAACCCCTCTGTAGAGTATTTTCTCAATAAAAAGGTTATTTTTTTTTAAAAATATTCAAAAAAGAAAAAAAGAAGAAAAAAAACTCATAAAGGGAAGGAGATATAGTTCAGTGGAGGAGCACTGCCTAATGCCTTCTGTTCTATTCCCAACATCCCCCCACAATCCTAGCTATTCAGGGGGTTGAGACCTGAGGATCACAGTTCAAACCCAACCTTGGGGAGGGGGGTGGCTGGGAAGGTGGCTCAGTGGTAGAGCGCTTGCCTTGCATGCTTAAGGCCCTGGGTTCGATTCCTCAGCACCATATAAACAAAAAGAAAAAATCCGGAAGTGGTGCTGTGGCTCAAGTGGTAGAGTGCTAGCCTTGAGCTGAAGAGCTGAGGGACAGTGTCCAGGCCCAGAGTTCAGGCCCATGACTGTACCCCTCCCCCCCAAAAAAAAGATATACAAACCCAACCTGGGTACAAAAGTCTGTGAGACTCTTATTTTTAGTTAGCCACCAAAACAAACAAAAAACAAACAAACAAAAACAAAACAAAACTAGAATTGGAGCTGTGGCTTAAGTGGTAGAGCTCTAGCCTTGAGCACAAAACTTCAAGGATAGTGCTCAGGCCCTGAGAGCAAGCCCCAGGATCAGCACCAAAGAAAAAAAGAAAAGAATAAGCTAGCATTTACATGTGATCCTATAAAACTTGGAACTTAACTTCATATCAGCAGGAAAATGTTCTACCTGAAAGCATGTCTTTCACTTCATAATACTGTTTTGCTTTTCCTCATGTATTTTTAAAATCTAGCAAAGTCACTTACCAATGTAGTTCTTTGACACAGCAACTTCTCTGACTTCAATGTGAACTGAGCCTCTTGGTATCTGCACCACTTCCATGTAGCCTGGGACACAGAAGATAGCCAGTAGTAAGCAGCCTCTACCAGAAAATGAGTGTTTAGTAACTACCCAGCAATCAGTGTTTCTTAGTTCTTCTATTTTTTCTTTGACTTTGTACTTTACAAGTTATGAAATATGGGCTTCTTTAGGTTTATAGATATATTTTAGAAAAAAAGGTGTTTGTTTTTTCTTTAAAATTGTCTCAGGGTATTTTTAAACTCATCTTTTTTTTCTCTAACACACAACCCTCACATCAATATTCTAGGCATTCACATCTTAAATTGTGTATGATAGCATAAGACTATATAGTCTGAGACACCCAGAAGGCTGAAAAAGGAGAATACAGGTAGCTTGAGTTTAGAACATTTGTGTTGTGTCCGGGCTTGGAAGGTGGCTCAGTGGTAGAGTGCTTGCCTTGCATGCCTGAGGCCCTGGGTTTGATTCCTCAGCACCACATAAGCAAAAAGCCGGAAGTGGCGCTGTGGCTTAAGAGCACTAGCCTTGAGCTGAAGAGCTGAGGGACAGTGCCCAAGCCCAGAGTTCAGGCCCCATGACCGGACCCAAAAAAAAAAAAAAAAAGCAAGAACATTTGTGTTGTGAGCAACACTGCATGACATCGTATTAAAAAAAAAATGAATCCAGGGCTGAATGTAGCTCAGTGGGAGAATAATTACTGAATATGAAAGAAAGGCTAGGTTGTATCTTTAGCGTGCGTTCTCTCTCTCTCTCTCTCTTCTCTTTCTCTCTCTCACACACACACAACCAAAGGAGGGAAGGAAGGAAGGAAGGAAAGAAGGAAGGAAGGAAGGAAGCCAAGCAAGAAAAGCAAGCAAGAAAAGAAAGAAAACAAGCATAGTTAAATAAAGTCAAGTAGGAAAAGAATAGTATTTCCTCAAAATATTTTGCATGAAGCACATTTTTATTTAAATGACTGAAAACAACTTAAGGAAAAATACCATTGTCTTCCTACATAAAGAAACAAACGTAAGAAGAGAAAAGAAGTGAAATGTTTTGTGATTCTGAACATAGCAGAGACCAGAACATACTCACCTCCTCTGGGTAAGGAATCATTGAAGAAACCCTCAATGGCATCACATGTACTTCCATCCCCTCCGCAGACTCGACATCTATCTTCCCTTGCATCAGATCCCAAAATATTATCACAACCTACATGCTGAAAACACACAAGAATGTTCAGTGAGTCAAAAAATAATTTCTTGGAAGCAGAACTAATCAGATACATATAACCTACTGAAGTACTCGCTCTTCCAGTAAAGGAAGTAAAAATAAGAACTCTCTTCCCTCTGCCTTCTTTTATCACTAAGTCCCAATGAACATTTCTCAACCTCTAAGTTTAAAGAAAAAAAAATTTGACTCCAGGAATAGATGCCAATATTCCTATTCCAGCTCGTGTCTTCTTTTATGTATACATCATGTTCTAATTTTTTAAGTAGTGTAATTTATTAGCAATCAATATTTTTCTAAAACTAAGCAAGATAGCTTATAGTCATGTAGAAGGTTATATCAGCAAGAGTCGACTAACCTTATGATGGTTTTTTTCTCTTGTTAAGCCATTGTTTCATTATAGATATTGTATTATTAGTATTAGAGGTTACTGTTTCCACTAGCTGACTAACAAAGAGGACATGTAAGCATGCCAATTATAAAGCTGAAATTTTACCTTTTATTTCTGCATTTAAATATAAAAAGGTGGAATTTTAGTATTTTTAGTGTGTTTTGGTGCTTGAATTTGCACATCTAATCTTTAGCTATTGGTACTATATGTTATCCCTGAATAAAAAACTGTACTTGGGCCATTGTAACCTGTAAAAATATAAATACCATCACAAAAATAACTTTTCTTCAAGGAGATAAGTACTGTCTCTTGTACACACACACACACACACACACACACAGACACACAGACACACACACGCACACACAACTGAATCGCCACATCCATATGCTATTAACCAGAAAGGCAGGGATATTTCCAGGAAAAGCTGAAACTAAGCAAAACAGACAACATTTTTTAAAATCTCCTCTTTTTCAGTTATTTCTCTTTATCATTTAGTTATGTTCTTCTTTCCAAAGTTAAACAAGATCATCGAAGAAAAAAATGCTGAGAACAGTGGTTTTTGTGGCTTTTCTTATTACCATGATTCATACATACATCTAACAAAATAGCATGGATTTTCTCTTACATTTTCCAAGTATTCTGACAAATTTTCTAACATAAATGCTTTAATAAGGTAAAGACTAACTGTATAAGGAAAACCATTACAAATACTTTAAAAGATAAAACAGGAGGACTACAGCTGTATCACATTTTGAAGAAAAATTGTGCTGTAAAAGACATAACATCTGCAAATGAGAATATATGATAGCCATAGGAATATTCTTTCTTTTTCAACCATTTTATTTATAAACTGAACAAAAGAATAATGGACATTATAGCCCTAAATATCTTCATATCCCTAGAAACTGCTTTAAACAATTAGAATATCAGATTAAGTCACATTAGTCTAGTGCTTAAATATGAATGGATCTTTCTGTATCTAACTACCTAACTGTCAGACTTGATTTAAAATTGAATTTGCCTAAAGGCTTTCTTAAAAACAAACTGATAATAGAAATAAACACCATCTATTAGTTGAGAAAAAGATAGAAGTCGCAAAATCCCAACAATGAGGAGTAAAATCTGAGCAACCTTGCATTCTCCATTGATACAGATATCCAATGAATCTGCATTGCACTGGGTCCCATCAATTACTGCAGGAGCACGTTCAGTGTAGAAATTGTAACCTTCAGCCAAACAGTTTAATGCACAAGGTTTTACGCCACCTGAACAAATAAAACAGAAGAGCAATTTTTTAATGGAATTGTTCTTCTTATGAAGAATGAAGTAGTAGTAGCTACAGTAAAACTATAACTCCTACATATGGTTACCTGATTATATACCTAGATGTGTATGTTTCTTTCCTCTTAAAAAAAATTCATGTTTGCTGGGCACCAGTGTCTCAGGCCTGTAATTCTAGCTACACAGGAGGCAGAGATCTGCAGATTAAGGTCCAAAACCAGCATAGGCAGACAAATCCAAGAGATTTTTTTGGGAGCTGGGGGTCCGGTCGTGGGGCCTGAACTCTGGGCCTGGGTGCTGTCCCTCAGCTCTTCAGCTCAAGGCTAGCACTCTACCACTTGAGCCACAGCGCCACTTCCGGCTTTTTTTCTTTTTGTTTATGTGGTGCTGAGGAATCGAACCCTCATGCATGCAAGGCAAGCGCTCCACCACTGAGCCACCTTCCCATCCCCAAGAGATTTTTTTTTTAATCTCCAATTAAGTAGTTTAGGGCCAGAAGTGGAGTTATGGCTTAAGTAGAACCTGGATCACAAAAGCTAAAAGCAAGTATGAGATTCTGAGTTCAACTATAAGCACTATAAAATAAATTATTTTCCTTGTTTTTGCAACTTAAAGAAGACCCTTCTGAGTAGTTTCAAGGTTTTACATTTTTTCAGGTATTTCAAGTGTATATTTTCAATATATTTTAGTTGCCAAAGGAATCACACTGGATGTAATCAAATGTTTTAAAAAATTAGGAAAGAAAATTATTTCTAAAAAATAAAGGTAATAAAGTCTAAGGAGGATTGAAATAATAAAAACAAAAACTTGTTATATATATATATATACATATATATATATATATATATATATATGTACACTTGTGAAACTTATAAGTAAATTCTGCCACAACAAACAGGTATATGTATTAAAACAAAACCAAATTTGTTCAGCCTTTACTAGTAGTATCACATCCTAAGAGCTTATCATGTTGAGATATATCCTTGTGGGACTAGTAGTATAAACAGAAAATTAATAACAGCATTAAAACATGAACAATTCTTAAGAGATTAATAAATCATAGAATCAAAAATTCATTTTCAACATTTCCTCATTACAACTGAATAATTAAATATATCAAATGTTCTTTTGTGAATAACTGCATATAATAATTTGAGTGTTATCATCTTATCATAGAAACTTGTACTTTTAAAGGCTAAAGTAAAAAACAGTAGCCATAAGAACAGTAAATATCATGACTTTATAGTAGTATATTGGATAGCAAAACTAATGTGAATTTATTGTAATGAAAACAACCCATTAAAAGCTGTCACTTATAAATATGTAGTTATAAAATTGTGAGTTGAAATATTTATTTTGTGAGGTCTATAATACTTTGGCTTTATTCTTGTTAGGCTGACAAAATTTTTCTTAGAAATAAAGAAGACAACTCCAAGAAAAGGTAATTAGGCAGATAAATAAAAATATTATGCCTAAGTTCTACTGAAATTTTTAGAAATCTGGTTTCTGCAAAGTGAGTAGATGTAAAAAAATGGTATTAATAAAAATAAGAAGGAGTACATTCTACTAATGTAAATTACTATTTTATTTAAGTTGTCATGCAAAAATATCCCAATGTTAGATATAATTTATTTTTTTAATAAAAGACAAGGGGTGCCACCTGTGGCCCATGACAATAATCCTAGTTACTTAGGAGGTAGAGACCTGAGGATCCCAGATGAAGCCAGTCCAGGCAGACAAATTCTAGACTCTTATCTCCAAGTAACCAAGTGCGAGCCTGAAGCCCTGAGTTTAAGTCCCAGTACTGGGGGGAGTAAATGGGGGGAATGATGAAATCCTAGCCTTTTTTTTTTTTTTTAACAAAAGCATAAACTACTCTGGTTTGTAAATGTTGGAAAAACTTTTCCTAAGCTACCAGTTTATATACTGTATGGCTAAAAATCAAGTCCATGTTTTTTTTCCATTTTTCAATGTAAAATGTTTCTACATTAATAACTAATAATATTAGTTTTTGGCTTAGGATAATGACATATTTTGCTATGCTAACAAAAGAATGAAAAGTAATAAATACAATAATTTCTTCCTGAAATCATAATAAAAGTAATCATTTTATAAGATTCTCATGAATAGGATGACTAATTTTTTGTGGATTGTATAGAGATTTTTATAATAATTATCAGAGTTAGCTCTTTTCTCATTTCTAATGTTTTAGAATTTAACATAGCACAGTATGTTGTAAGTTTGCTTATCCAACTATAACATAATATTAATTATATGAGGTAGTATTTGGTTGGAAAGACACTGATTGAATTCCTTAGCCCACTGTACTAAACCATGAAAATGGGAATCAATTTCTTCTTTGTTTACTGCTGCACATGTTCAGCTTTTCCTGTTACAATGAACTTTCGGAAAAGGTACTTTTGAAGTGACATAATCAAGATGGTAGAAGAGAAGCTTTTATTATCCTCTAGCAGAAGCAATTGCTTTTACAACTACCTACAAATGAGAGTACTTTTTGTGAGATTGAGAATCCATGGGAGTTCCAGCATGCCATTGAAACAAACAAACAAACAGAAAATCTGAGAACAGGTTTTAAGAATAGTTTTGTTTCCAACATCATGTCTCCTGAGGATCGCTGTTGCATTGTTTCACCCTTCCTCCTTTGTCTCACCATTTTGGGAAGGGAGGAAGGAAAGTGGTGGAGAAATGAAAGGGGGTAACAATGTTCAACAAGAATGTATCTGTTGCCTTACTTATGTAACTGTAACCCTTCTGTAAAACACCCATACAATAAAATTAAAATTAAAAAAATTAGAGAATAATTTCATTTTATCTTCATCATAGTCTCATATCTGCATCAAAAACAACCTCTCAGCCCATTATCTCTCCAATAGGGTACAAAATGAGATAATAAAAGCTCCTCAGCTGTCTGGGACACTACCCAAAGGGCCCACTTCTTTTTCATCCTGCCCAGACTACCGTGTTGATGGGTATGGCTTTAGTGTTTAAAAACAAATCTAGAAGCAGAGAAGAAAAGCCACAGGCTCAATAAATGACAGACTGGGGAACAAGAAAAATCAAGAAAACACCACCAAGACAACAACAAGCAAACAAATCTAATGAGTAAGAGATCTACCAAAGACCTGATAAAGAACTAAAAATAATTAAGTTAGAGATATAGTAGCATAAAGATACTACATGAGGTCTTATGTTGATGTTCCAGTGAAAATAAGAAAAAATAGAAAGGGAAGAATGAAGGACAAGAGAAAGGAAAAGAAGAAAAGAAAAAGAAAGCTAAAAGAGCTACAGAAGAGCAAAGATATACAACTGACTTAAAAAGCAAGACATGAACAAATGAGATGTTTGATAGAGACAGATCTCTCTCTCTCTCTTAACTATCTGTCTCATATACACAGAGCAAAGCAAAGCAAAACAAAACAGAAGTTCTGAAGCTGAATACCATAAATGAAAAGTGCATCAGAGACTATCAACAGTAGACTCAATCAAGTGGAAAAATCATCAGTGGGTTAAAAAGGGATCATTTGACAAAAAAAAAAAAAGAGAAAAGAATGGAAAGAAATCCAATCCAAAAGGATTTATGGAAAATCATCAAAAAGAGCTGTAACATTCACATTATGTGGGGATCTTCAGAAGAGAAAGGAATCTTATTTAAAGAAAACAAAGTGGCTGAAAACTTTTCAAATCTGAGATGGACATCTAATTATAGGAAGCTCAATGTTCTCCAATAAGGTATAACCCAAAGAAAATCTGAAAGGTATACTATAATAATAACTTAAACATTAAAGAAAAGGACATAATGTTGAATGAAGAAAGATAAGAAAAGGTTCATCACACTCAAGGGAGCTATATAAGTATATCCACAAATTTATCTGCAGGTCAGTAGAGTGGGATAATGGATTCATGGTGCTGAAAAAAAACAACTGCCAACTAAGAATACTTTTCCTGACAAAGTTGTCTTTCCGAAATGAAGGAGAGATAAAGACTTTCCATATAAACAAAAGCTGAGGGACTTTATCAGCACTAAATCTGCCATACAAGAAATGCTAAAGGGAGTTCTTCAAGCTGAAATGAAAGGATGCTAATTAGTAACATGAAAATATATGAATGAAGAAAGTTAACTTGTAAAGGTAAGTATATTGTAAAATTCAGAATATTCTAATACTCTTATAGAGATGTATAAATCACTTATAACTAGTATAAAGACAGAAATAGTAAAAGTAGCTACAGCCAAAATAATTTAATGGGCACAAAATAAAGAGTTATAAAATTTGATATTAAAAAAACCCTAAGGTGGGGAATTTTTGTATGTGACTGAATTTTAGTTGATGTCAGCTTAAAATAGACTCCTATAGCTATAAAATGTTTTATGTAATCCTCACAGTAACCATAAAGCAAAGACCTTAGTAAATACACAGAAGAGAAACTGAAAGAAATCAAGACATACAATTACCAAAAAGAAAAAAACGCCAGAAAAAACAGCAGCACAAGATGAGGAAAAAAGAAATTAAAGGATCAATAAAACAGACAAAAACAAGTGACCAAATGGCAATAGTAAATCCTCATCTACAACTACTTACATTAAATATAAGCAGATTAAATTCTGTATTCAAAAGATGTAGAGTGACTGAAAGGCTTTTTCTTTTTTTAAATTCACTTACATATTCCCTACAAGTAACTGACTTCAGATTTAAGTATACAGAAACTAAAAGTTAAGAAATAGAGAAAAAAATACTCAATTCAAGGCCAGCCATGTCTGATCACCCATGTAATCCCAGCTACTCAGGATGGGAAAATCATGGTTTGTTAGTCTGATGAAAAAAAAAAAAAGTTAGACTCTATGTCAACCAACAAAGTACATATCTGCAGGTCAGTAGAGTGGTACATTATCTGTTATCCCTGCTATATAGGAGGTATAGGTTGGAGGATCACAATCTATGCTAGCCTGGGCAAAAATTGTGAGACT